GGTCAGAGCAATGTTGGTCCATTCATCGAGCCACAGTGACAGCTCAACACAAGCCTCCTCTACCGTAGTCCGGAGTTGGTCTTCGCTGTGTTGACCCATAAAGTCATTACTCCGGCCCATGATCTTTGTATAAGCTTCCGTGCGGATGATGTTGAGCTCCACTTGCGAGAGAAGGCGGATGTCGGTAGATGTACGTTCTGGGTGAGCTAATAGACATCTGATCTTTCGAGATGACATTTGAAGAGAAAGGCCCGGCAGTTTACCGCCATCTAGAGAGAAACTTGGATGTTTTTAGCAGCGCTCTCCGACCAGGCTAACACGATACTCACAAGAGCTCAAGATTGCAGATTCCAAGCCAAACTCTGGATAGACGGTAAAGCTCTTGCTCATGGGCGGTCACGATCCCGGAACGTGCGTGACTTTTGGCGATGAGCTGATCGACAACATGAGGTAGCCCAAGCTGAATGGCAAAGCGAAGGGCCATGGCCACCAGAACGAACGCGTTCTCCGAGTACGCAGCCACCAGTGCGATGGCCTGTATATCCTCTACTGTAGGGGTATTGGTGTTGATGAATAGGTCGGTAAATCGATCACGGACTCGAGTCTGGAGGCGGCCTAGAAATGGGTGTACAGCGTCAGCATTTGTCTCATATGCAGTTCATACAGGAAAACTACTGACGATAGATTCTGGTGTTGAAACCTTCGGCAGCGCGACATCCAATACTGACTATGGCGTCAAAAAGGATTGGACTCCGTGAAGCCACTGATGCGATGTTGTCATGTCTCTCGCAAAAGATGGGCACGAGGTATTGCTATGGCTTTTAGTATGGTTGACCAGGTGAATCGGGGCTTCCATACACTGCCCGAGAAGAAACTTTGTAGAATCAGTGATCTAAACTCGAGAAGTGCAGTGAGTTTGTCTACCTTTGATACCAGTGGACAGCTTGTTCCCATGTGATGAGACCTGCGTCAACGGCCGTTGCGTTGCACTTGGGCATAGACCGGAGTACGACTTCTGGCACTGTCCCAGTCGCATCCTCCATGGGTAACTGCATTCATTATCATGGTCAGCTAGCTTTCCGCGGATTCGCGCAGGACACCACCTCAAATAAGGAGGAACCAGAACGCCCTACAGCCCACATTGGCGCCAGATGTTCTGATTTGCCTCCTTTACCCAAGTGTAGTCTTCAGGCCTACGTACACTCTTGTCTTGATGTCGCTGGATACGCATGTGTTCACGAAGAGCAGCCATCTCATTCTCGAGCCTTTCGATCCGCAACACATTTTCGTCCTTTACGGCGTCAAAGTATTGACAAGTTGCGCCATTCCGGTCACATCGTTGGCAAGGGCGGTTCCCGTCGCATCGTACTTTGGACGTTCGGCAACTGACGCATGCATTGATGGCACGGCGTTTGCGTGGTCGCGGCGAATCCATTGTTATCGGGAATTTCGCACGTACTGGATGGCCCGGTTTTTTGAAGTCGGGGGTGGGCCTTATGGAGATGCGGGGAAGCTACACATGAGTCGTGGCTCTGCGGCGGAATCTACAATCGGCAACGGAGGACGCGACATTCGTCCCGCGGCAGACTTGGGGGCTTGCAATTGTCCAGCCAGAACACCCTGTATCGTTAGTGACCGTGAGTCGCACTTAAAAGTAAGGATGAAGATGATGCGTATCATTCGTCAACACGACCTAATGCCGTCTCAGAGGAAAGTGACGCTAAATCCTGTTCGGACTGATGACCAGTCTGCTGCAACGAAGAATACTCAGTTTGGCGCGACATATTCGTTAATTGTAGGCGCAGTGTTGAGATCAAGATCAATGCCGAATTGCCCTGTAGCCTGCCCGTAGCTAGCCTTGACAGCCTCTGTTGCGTATATTCGCATCTCTTTTTCATATGCTTCTGTGACACCCGTCCATCTATCGCCATCGCCTCTCTCCCAGGCTTCGGCTATCAATCGACCGAGCAAAGCCGAGTCGCGCACAGCTGTGTTTGCGCCGTTGCCTCCTGCCGGCGTCATGGCATGCACCGCATCGCCAACCAGAGTGACTCGAGGGTCGTTGGGCCACTTCGGTACGCCTTCTGGTGACGAACATGTTATCTTCCAGAAAGCTGCTTCCGACTCGGCCATGTTATCGAAGAGTGGCTTGACACGATCATGCCAGTGCGATGTAAGTGCCTTTGCTATCTGTGCAGCAGGCGGCCCAGTAATGGTGTAATTGTCGTTCGGCGCTTTGATGACGCCTGGAGAGCCGATCATGGTCCAGCCGAAGTTGACGTCGGGCTTGTCCATGTCGCCTGCGCGCACATTTGTGATGACGAAGACCTTGCCACCGTTCGGCTGTGATGTATCGTCGACAAGACGGAAGACACCTTCGCCCAAGGCCTTGAAGGCTGCCGTCGGGGCTTGTCCATGTATGCCTCTGGAACCGAGATCGTAGACTTTGATCGCCCCATTGGACAGCTGACCAGCGACTGCACTCTTAACACCCTCACCACCGATCAGCATAGAGCCCTCCTCGGACTTGGTACCGTCGGCGAAGACTAGTCGCACACCATTGTCCGTCCTCTCGTAGGCTGCGACCTGGTGTTTCCAAACCACACGGTCCTCGATGCCGTCCATGAACAGCTTGCGCATATCACCGCGCGACACTCCAACGACCTTGCCGTCTCTGCTGGTCAAAGGCTCGCTCTTGACGCTCGGAGCATCTCCACCTATTGTCTCGCCTGTCAGCGGGTTCACTGCCGCGAATCCAGCCCCGCCAGTTTTGCCGCAGGCGTCGTAGAAGGTCTTGAATCCTGCCGGACCGAGCACTTGCTCAATGGCGTCCAGACCCTGCGCTGAGAGTCTCAGCCTATAACCCTGGGCTCTGAAGACGATGGACGCGTCGCGTTCGAAGACGAGGAACGGGATCTTGGAACGGTGCAGCGAGCGGGCGAGGAGGAGCGAGGCGAGGCCGGCGCCGGAGATGAGGATTGGCTTCGGGGCGCTCATGGTGGACGGTGGATTGATATGGGGGGTAGACGGCGTCTGGAAGGGCGTGACATGGCTGCTGTTATAGCAGTTGCGCTTGGGGGTGAGGCAGGCGCGATGCAGTGCGTCAAGTGCATCGTTGGGCAAGTGGGGGCCGCGTCGGATCTCCTGGGCCGCCGAAGCAGCGTGATTTCTAAGCTGCCACACTCAAATGCCAGTAAGCGACTGTGGCCTCTTTCCGCACGGCGACATTTATAATACCAGAGTCCACCATACCGCTAAGCCATGCTGATGTTCTAGTCTTACGCAGCACTCGGGGATGCAGCTGTGTTGGAGCACGTGAAGACGCGTCAAAGCCCTGGGCCGAATCATGGCACCCGCGCAATCTTTGGCCCATCAATCATTGTTGAAATCCGTTGATTTGGTAGCATACTCTATGGATCCATGCAGTTCCCCTTCGTCATCACATTAACGACGCGAACGTGCTGTGTCGCACAGTGACTACTACCGTTTTGGTGCTATGATGCCATGTAATCCATAATGTAGTCGATCTTCGGCTTCATGAGCAGCAAGTAATGCTCTTCCGGGATAAGCGCTATAGGTTCCCGAGCCACGAAGACAGCCCAACTAGACTCTTTGTCAAAACTCCACTCCCAACATGTAGACTCGAAATTGGGGGCGTTCGGGGCATCGTATCTCTGGAAATGGTCTTCTTTGAGCAACTCGCCGAGTAATCTGATGTACCCATAGGGCTCTTTTGCAACACGATGGTTCGGGAAGAGGAGCTTGACTTGTTTGACGTTGCGCAGACGTCTGAGCAGACCCACGAGGGCTGTCCGGTTGGCAGAGTCGTCGAGTGGCATTACAAACTGTAGCTCATCGAGATGCATACATTGCCTGTTCAGCGGGTACTCGCACCATTTCCTGATGGTCTCATGGTCGCAGTGAATCCTCAACTTCTTGACATCTTGGAGAAGCTCTTCGACTTGCTGACCGGCAACTCGTGTGGAGTTCCTGGCGAGCACAAAGAGGGTACTGTGGATGGCAAGGCGACGGAACTCAGCGTTGAACTGGCGGCAAACCAGCCGTATCGCAAGGTTGGTACTAGCTTTGTACCTCTCATCTATCGTAGAACAAGTTCGTCCCTCATTGGACTCGTGGTGTTTCGTGAGTCCCGCGTCAGATTGTTCCAGCGCGTATGCGACAATCTCTAGGCGGAGCTCGATAGGTAAAGAGAGAAAGGTCGCCTTTGAGGCGGTGTGAGACATGACGTGGTGCCACAGGGGGTTAAGACAGCGAGTATGGCCGCTGCGTAAACTTTGTGCTCACAGACACTGGCCATTTGCAAGCTCGAAGCAACAACCCAGCTGACGCGAAAGAAGCGCGCCTGATGCCAGCGCGGGCCCGTGCGTAGACATCTGATAAGATTTCACGACCCCGCCAATCTCCGACTCCGAGCTTGCGTCGCCCCATCTTGTACCTCATCGCGTCCACTCATGCGCACTTCATCCATCTCCATCATTCTGTACACGCTTACAGGTGCATCACATGCTTTGTACTCGGGAAAGTACTGCCCTTTGGCATGTGAGACCGGCGTCAACTATGTAACCTTCAACGACACCGACCCTTCGCTTTCGAGCAAGATCCGAGGATGCCAAAGTGAATTACGCGTCACATCACTGTATCTGTGCTTCGACGAGTTCTGCATACAGGACAGCCAGACAGGAAAATGGATCGAGAACCAGAATCCCTGGTGTGAAGCACACGCGAACATTACATTACCTTCCTTTCGCGATATTCTGGACCAATGGACCCCTGACGACAAGGCTAGAGTGACGCGACTGTCAGCTGAAAAGGCACTCAGGTTTCCGACCATTGATGAAGTTGTGATACCAAGTGATGAGCTTGTAAGGCGAGCTTTCACCACCATGGTACGTTCCTGCTTGTACGGCCGATAAGACTATGGAGTGCTAAATGTGGCGTACAGGAAGCGGCATTCTGGGAATACGAGATCCATCTCGTGTATGGGTAAGTCGAGCCTGTATCCCGTTAGGCGCGACTTCGCTAATATAATACCCATAGCTGGTACATGTACTACTTCTGGCTCGTAGTAGTGGCCGTTGGTGTAACGACGCGTATACTGTCACTTCTACGCAGTGAACAGCGGCACATGTCATACAAAACAGTCCCAGAAGTCGAATCCGGCCGGATTTCTGGACCTCGAAGTCCCTTGGTTTCCCTCCGAACATGGCTCAGGCGATACGTTACTACACCTGCCGCTTTTGGTGATCGTTGTTCTCGACCGTACGGCTGGTGTACCATCCCACCACGGATCCAGTCGCTTACCATCTTTCTTTTTGTCGCGCTCAACGTTGTTCTCTGCAGCTGCTCCTACCGTCTCACCGAAGGCAACCTTTATTGGCCGAAGAAGTCAGTGCAATTCCTCCGTTTTGTATCGGATCGTACGGGAATCATATCGCTCGCGAACTTCCCACTCGTCTGGCTCTTTGGTATGCGCAATGATCTTTTGATCTGGGTGACTGGATGGGGTTTCGGTACCTACAACGCTTTCCATCGGTGGGCGGCAAGGGTTGCCACAGTACAAGCCGTAGTGCACAGTGTGGGATACACGCTGATGATACTGGAGCGCGGAGGATGGCCATCTTTCCTAAACTACTGGACGAAGCACTACTTTTGGAACGGCGAACTGTCAACCATCGCCATGTGCGGTCTTTTGGCGTTCTCGTTCTACGGTATCCGCCGTGCGCACTACGAGTTCTTCCTCGTCACGCACATAGCGCTCTCGATCGCAACCCTCTGGACTATGTACTACCATGTTGAGATTTTCACTAATGGCGAGTGGAACATATTCATCTGGCCATGCGTTGGTGTCTGGGTCTTTGACCGGATCATGCGCCTCTCACGAATCTTAGCTTTCAACCGCAGCCCGCTGAGTACCAAGGCTAGGGTTACTTATGACCCTAGCAGTAACCTCGTGCGTATGGAAGTCGATAGTAGTAAGAGCTTAGTAGCCCCAAGGCCTGGCTCTTACTACTACATCCACGTGTTGGATGATCTGTTCTATGCACATCAGAGCCATCCGTTCACGTTGGCATACAGTTCAAAAGATACGGACAATCCTCCATCTACGCCACTATCGCCGCTTTCAGCGAGGCCGGAACACTCGCGTACTTCATCAGCCTCAACCACAGAGTCGGATGCACTCTTGTCGTCTAAAGCCTCGGATGCCTCATTAAACATGGTGTTCCTTATCCGACCGTACGACGGCTTCACATCCCGATTGAAGTCACATTGTCTCTTGCATCCCAAAAGACTCCGCATCCTTGTGGAAGGGCCTTATGGACACACTGTTCCTCTCCGCAGTTCACAAAACATTTTGTTTGTAGTCGGTGGAACGGGTATCGCAGTCCCGCTATCACACTTAGCCCACGTTCTGGCCAGTACATCACGTGTACGCAGTGTGAAGATTGTATGGGCAGTACGCGAGTACGCGTTCCTCACTTCTGTTCTCCGCGACTTTAGAGGCTTGTTGAGTGATGAGAGAGTCGAGATGGAAGTGCACGTCACTCGGGATGATGAGGCAAAAGACGATGTGTTGGGCGAAGACCTGAAGAGCGTAAGAATCATGGCACACAGACCTGACGTACATGAAACAGTTCAAGAGGCTGCTAGAGATGCGGGCCAGCAACGTCTGGCGATTGTGGCTTGTGGGCCAGCTTTGATGGCGGATCAGGCTAGGAAAGCGAGTGTCCAGATGTTGGATAAAGGTTATAGAGGGGTGGAGTACTTTGAAGAAAGCTTCAAGTGGTAGGGCACATGACATCAGGATAATTCGATGGATTCAGTTCGTGCCCAACATTATCCCAGTTTACAGATCTGCTTTCTCCTCTGTTCTTTTAAGTTGAATGTACCACTCCGCGACCTCTCTCACGCTATCCTCTAACCCCCTAATCTTGTCACCATTCATCAGCATCTTCTCCGTCATGCTTGATTCGACGCGGAATGGCATGTTGATAGGCACCTTCTGGCGTCCCAATGTGAAAACCCCAGTCTTGACCTCCTTGGCAAAGTCTCGCTCGATCATGTCCGCCACAGAGTTCCAGAGTTTGTCACCATCTGTCCCCTCCTCCACCGTCCCAGCGGCAACATACCACTTGGGCAGATCCTCGCCTCTAACCCTCTCATCTAGCGCCTCGATATGAATGCGAGCGCAGTCTTGCACATGCACGAAACCAAACGCATACCGTGGTGCCACATCATCGAACAGCAATGCCTTGCTCTGTCGATCCATATGCGCACGCGCTTGCTCCGACGTTGTGCAGAACTCCGAAGGGCCGATGACGGTACCGGGTATGATTTGCGTGATAGAGAAGGGGAGCTCGTGGGAAGCTTGGAGATCAGCGAGGTAGGTCATACATTGGGCTTTTGCGGAGCAGTAGGCGTTGTGCGGGGATTTGAGAGGGGGTCGATATGCGAGGGATGTTTGCGAGACCTGAACTGCCTCTGTATCGGTCAGTAAGACGCATGAAGTGAGGCGCGAGAGCAGAAGCAAAGAGACGTACCGTTCAAGACGCGTTCCATACGCGTACCCAGTGTATCGCCGTCTTCAGAGTCAACAAGCCCCGCCCCCGCCTGCGTAAACACCATCCTCTTCACTGTGCCAGACTTGCGCCCTGCTTCTATCAAGCCCCTCGTCGACCTGATATATGGATGGTAGATGTCGTTGTCAGGATCCAGATGGAGCATCGGCCATGCTCCTGCTATGTGCACAACATAGTCGACACCCGCAACAGCTTCATCGTATGCTCCCCCGACCGCATTGTCTGGCACGGCGACGTATTCGATTAGGTCGAGGTAGGGCTGCACAGAGGGCCCGGTTTTGATCGTTTCGATGGCGGAGGCGCGGCGCACGATGCACCGGACTCGATAGCCAGTTTGCAGCGCGTAGACCACACAGGCATAGCCTATTGTTCCGTTTGCGCCTGTTATCTAGGTACCCGGTCAGTTTCGTTGTGCTGGGGACGATGGAGGTTGACTTACAGCGACAAGGCCTCGAGCTCCGCGATCGACCGTCATGCTTCAGTGCCGCGGCGGTGAAGTTTCCCAATATCGCGAGTGCTTCATGCCTGAGTCAGAAGCTGGGAAGTACATGGTTGATATGGAAATTGTTCGAGTCTTACTGAGATTCTTGCCGATGGAGTGCAGCTTAGATGAATGGGAGGGTAAGCCGGGCCAAGCCGTTCCGAGCAGCGTTCCGACATCCCTCGGCATTCAGCGACGTGGAGCTTGTCGTCATTGGACGTTTATCCACCAACACTCCTCATCCACGCGATCATTGCGCGAAGGGAGCTTTATTATGCCTAACTTGCCTCCTTTCAATACAACAGATGGTTGGGATATTGGCTGAAGACACGTGTATTGGAACACGACAGCACGCAATCGCGAAGCTTTCCTCATGCCGCCATGAGAAGCTCAACATCATCGTCGTACGCTCCAGAACCCACGCGCGTTTCGCATCATAGGCATAAACTGGCACCACCGGGTAGGCTGGAGCCTTTTCAAGCGAATTTGCCACAGTCCTCGCTCTCAAAGCACCTCCTACACGCGCGCACGATGCCACGCTCCTCGAACGGAACCCGACCGCACTCGTCCACAACCAAGGTGCCGGCATCGTTGTAGGAAGCGATGTGTGCGTATCCTTCGAGCGTTATGATAGATGTAATTGCGGCTTGGCTGTTCCACGACTCGGAGGCAGCAGTTGGACAAAATGGCGAGCTTAACCATCAAGAAGATACCTAGGTATGACAAGTTGGCATCTGGCATGCTACATGCCTATACAATGGCAAGCAATAGCCAGGCATACTGGCATGCTATAAGTTCGGCGGATACGAGCGACGGGACAGTAAGCCACAGGGAGCGGGGGCAGGACACAGCAGAGAGAAGCATGAAGTTCGGCAGTTCTAATCAGCATCAACAGTTGCCGCCGGATGCCCATATATATACATCGAGAAGAGATGTTGCCAGCATGGCCAATTGATAAGCTGAAGCAGTTACAGTGATAACGCTGCATTCTGCAAGCTTCCCTTCTTTTAGGACCAGTCGCCTTCATCCTCAACCACTTCGCCACGTTCCGAGGCCCCCAGCAGCCCGCGGACGGTCCACGGTCTGTACTCATATCCCGGCGGTATGTTCGTGTTCAAGAACTCGACACCCGTGTCCAAATGCTCAGCACACTTGTGGTAGTTATCGTAAACATACTTCTCGGGATTGTGACAGACCAACCAATCTCCGACCATCTTGTGCTGCTTTGTCGGCGCCGCCTTTTCGTCTTTCCAGTCGGTGTTGTGAAAGATCTCACGATTCTTGAATCCTAGCTTCTGCGCGCAGGACACTCGCTCGAACCTACAGTTTTGGGGTTAGTCGCTAGTGTTTCTCCACGATCTATATCGGCATACCTCAGCTTATTGTGCACCTTGGTTGCAAGCGCAACGTGCTGCTTCCCGGCAACATGTAGACAGGCTGCTAGCGAGTACGCGTCTTCCATGGCCATCGTGCCGCCACTGAACGACGTAGGCAAGAAGGGATGGGCAGCATCGCCCAGCTGCACGACATGGCCGCCTTTCGACACCCACTGCGGCTGTGGATCACGCCACATCAGCTTCCAGTCGAGCACCTGATTGTTCGGTGTCGCCTTGATCACCTCCGTAACAAAAGGATCCCAATCTTTTACAACATCCAGGATCCTATCCGTGGAAGTGGTTTTCGACCAGCTCTCTGTTGCCGTACCGTTCTCATCCTGATAGAAGTTAGCAACGATCTACAAGGCCAATGTACCAGCGACTACAAACCTTACAAGTCAATAGATAGCACAGCTCGCCATTGTCATGAGAAATAACCATGTGCGCACCAGGACCAATATACATGAAACCACGGTGATCGTGCCCCAGAAACTCCCTCGCAACAAGGGGATACTTGTCCATCGCCGGCCCAGTAGGAAAAGAAGTCCTGTAAACAACAAAGCCAGAACTAATCGGCTTCTCTCTATTCCCGTCGATGATCTCGCGGGACCTAGAGCCTACACCATCTGCGGCTACCACCACATCTGCAGTTATCTTCTGACCGCTTTTGAGAACAACACCGCCTGATGTGTTTGAGTCAAAGTATACGTCCACTTTCGCGTCGTACGTTATGGGTATACCGAGCTCTTTGACGTAGGTATTCAGCAAACTATGCAGCCTCTTTCGGTAGATGCTCAAAGACGGATTTGCAGAATCGCCCGGAGCATGGTGTTGGATGAATGTGCCGTCGTATTTGCGCAGGTCAAAGGTTGGTGGCGATGCGAGGGCCCTGAGGCGTTCTAAGAACCCTGGCCATTTCTTGGGCGTTTCGAGCGCTGAGCTGGTGATCATGATGATCTCACCTGTCGGTTTGTTAGTTTGGTTCTTTTGGAGGTCGATAGTTGGATGGGGAGGTACGTACCCGAGTATTGACCTTCGTCATTCCGTTCAAGAACGCGCACATCGTGTCCTTTGCGGTGGGCCTCGATTGCGAAGGTGAGTCCGCCGATGCCGCCTCCCACGACGAGAATGTCGATCCCGGTTCTTGGTTCTCGTTTCATTTGGGGTTCCTGGGTGTCTGGCATGTTTGATGTTGTTGTTTTGTTCGATGTGGCATTCTCTTCGCATAGATATACTTGAGCATTTCTCACACTCCCCAGGCCTTTCATCGCAAACGGCGCAACAACATACCGGCGGGCGAAAGACTACGGACGGTTGAGGCGGACAGACCCGACAAAATTTTATGGACAGGTCTGCGTTGATCGCTTGGTGGGCCTCGCCTGTCCTGAGGGATGCGATGTTGCATCCGTTCACAAACGCCCCTTCCGGCGTCCCGAAGCTAGCTTCTCTTAAGCTTCTCAGGCATATGGCTACGCGCGTGAACCAAGGCTAAGCACAAATGTATCTAGTACTGGCGGCGAAAATGTCTATGTTGGGTGGCAAGACATATTGTACATCATGTACGATGGCTTGTACAAACGCGGGCCCACATGGCAGTGGTAACATCGTACTATTCTCCACACGGCCATGCGATCAGAGAGTGTGGGATGAGAATCAGCGTGACTCTGGTTGACATCAACATCAAACCAGTATGTGATGTCGACAGTCGTGATTGACAAAGCCGATATCGCGAAGATGTTTCTCATATCGGGTCTACTGGGCAATGAACTACGTTTGCATCTGTTTCTGCATCTCCTGCACGACGACTGCTTGAACCTCGCGCATATGCTTACTCACTATCGCGCCGCCGTATCCACCTTCCAGATCGTCGAGAAGATCTTCGCTGCCCTTGGGGAAGATGCCTACGCTTCTTCCACACAACTCTTGAACCGAAGCAAACCTCACCACAGCATCCACGACTCTGTCCATGGATACAAATCCTATTATGTTAAGAACAGCGCCGTTGTCCTCTACAAAGTCGGGTTGCTTGGCGATGCCGGTATCCACGTACCAGGGTGCAACAAGATTGATGCGGATCGAAGAGTGCATGGCGCGCTCGCGCAGGCTGTACAGAAGTCCTCGAACACCGAACTTGGACATGCTGTATGTGGTGCTATATGGGTATCCAATATAGGCTGCAAGCGAGGCGATGAGAACGATGCTGGGCTTGAAAGTTGTTGCTGCTGCGCGCGGGAGGCGGAAGTGATGTAGTGCTAGATAGCAGGTATTGTATACTGCCTCAAGATTGACGGAAACGCAAGCAAAGCTTGGAGGAGGTGGTGGGGTGTCTCCTGGGTTTGGCAACGTGGCTGGC